TCATGTAAGTATCCGTACCTTTTAGGTCCACCACTGACCCAACATATGATGTAATGCCCATTAAGCTCATTTGTAAATTATTTGAGATAATCACCTAGAGGGGTATCATTAATCCTGTCTGAGTTGTAAACAATACTGTCTGTGTCGTAGTACAAGACAGATGATCATAATCTTTCTAGTGCTCAGTACAATTTCACACGTGTGTGAGCAGTAGTGCAAGCCACCAGAAATATATTTCTTTGATCTTTCTGAGGTAGATACCCGTGCTTGTGTCTTCAATGAAGAGCAATAACTTCGACATTGACTAATGCAACGTCTGTTACAATTTTGGTGTTATTGTTCATTAACGAGTAATACTGTTTATTGTTTGTTTTGGAATTTCGCGCAAAGCTACACGAGGGCTATCTGCGCTAGCCGTCCCTAATTTAGCAGTGTAAGACTAGAGGGAAGGCAGCTAGTCATCACCACCCACCGCCAACTCTTTGGCTACTCTTTTACCAACGAATAGTGGGATTGACCGTCACATTATAACGCCCCCACGGCTGAAAGGGCGAGCATGTTTGGTGGGATGCGGATTCGAACCCGCGACTCTCAGATTGTGAGTCGAGCGCCTTATCCACCTGGCCATGCCGGGCCAAAATACTGTTTAACAGATGTTACATAGGTCAGTTGTGATTTGTCCTCAGACATACCCCAACGATCCTAGAAAGAGTTAAGACAAAGTTTTGCAACTAACATTCTGCCTGGGTTAAACTCTATGTTTTCAGGGGTCAGTTGCACACCTTCCTTTTCAGCATATTGTTCAATATATTCCTGTTTTGCCTCTGATGTAACACAGTGTGAGAGCCATCTTGAACTTTCCTGTTTTATTTTTAGAAATGTGTCTACATAATGTTTAAATAGCTGTGTGGATATTTCAGGGAAATGGTAAATTTCATAAATCTTTGTTATCTTACAGCCACACTCGACCACTATTTTGCACCTCTTCATTAACCCATGTGCCGATAAATGCTCTCTCATCATCCAAGTGATTACACGGGGATGATATTCTTAAATTGACACACATGTTACAGTGAGGGAAAGTTAATTTACTGTCACTTCTCAGATGTAAAACAGGATGATAGTGTTTCCTCAGGGCTACAGATTTTGCACTCATTGAAACCGAAATAATTATGTACATCTGAAACATTTCTTGTGATGAATATGAGATGGTCAATTGGATAGCTACAGTACTTATTTGTCCATGGATATAGAGATGTGAAGTCAACATACTTCATCTTTTCACCTTCCTTCTCATTACAGAAAAATCTAGTAGTGTTGACTCTATTGCCATAGAAACTATCCTGTATTTCCAAGTGAGAAACTAATGTGGGGTCCTTAAGGGAACTAATTAATTTTGTACCTATTGATTTCATATGATTAAGTTCATGTTCCTAGATTGAAACAGCCTTATACCCCTGAGCATCTAGTTTATGCTGCCTGTCCAACGAATTTATTTAGAACAACATTCATTGTGTCAAAATCGTAACATAAACTTTGCAAATAAAGGTTTGTTTAATGGTTAACTACAATATTGCGTTTGTTTTGAGGCTTGTTTTATAGGGCTGTTTTGTGTGACTTTTGTTTATGCCGTTTTTATTAAATTGTTTATAAAATTTCACTGAGAAAATTGTCTTCTTGGTCTGTTCTTTCTGCTAATGTTCTGATTTTAATACTTTCAGTTTTCTGGTTATTTAGATCATCTAGTTCTATTTTGATTATTTGGATGGATTCAGTGAATTTTGTGTCACTTTCTGCTATATGGACTATTGTTGTAAGCATGCGTTTCAAAAGCTCTATTTGTTTATTTTGTATTTTGGCTTGTTTTTTTTTCTTTGGTTCTGAATAATATTTTGATTTCTACTTTTAGATTATCCCACCACACTGCATTGGTGGTTTCTGTGTTGTTTAGTGTTTCTAGCATATCGATGATATCTTTATTTTCGAGGAGAAGGCATTGCGTTTCTGATGTTCCAGTTCTCAATCTATTTATTCATTGTTTTAATGTTTAAAAATAAACAGTGATGGTCTGTAACATAATTGTCTGTGGTGGCAATCGAACTTATCCAGGATTTTTCCACTGACTCCAGAATGCCTCTGGTGGTATAGAACTTTTTGATTCTGCTACCTATCCCCCTACTATGTCAATAGGTCATACCATGATCTAAGCCCTGAATATGATGCAAAACATCAATTATCGATTACATGTTCGATCCAGCTTACTGGCTTGTCTCTGTTAGTACTGTCATTCATTTTATCTAAGAGGGCATATAAAACAAAACTAAAATCTCTACTTATGATAATATCATAGGTGCAGAAAAGATGGTCTTCTAGAACCCGGATAAACTGTCTTCTTGGAGTACCTTTATCTGGGGTGTATACGTTAACTATTCTGAATATTCTATTGTATACTTCTATGTCTAATGAGCATATATGTCGATAATCACCATGCTTGAATGATTTTAATATTCCTGTAAACTGGAAATGGATAATTATACCTGTTCCAGCTCTGATATGGTATCTGAGGCCACAGGAAGACTTATTAAAGGTATTGGTGTCTTTCTGACAGTAAAAATGAGTTTCTCAGAGAAATAGGATATCTATACTATGTCTCTGATATAATTTACTATAAAATTCTGTTTTGCTTCTCTTCTGAAACCTTTTTTTTATTAGTAGTTAAAATGTTAAAATCCATTTAGGCATTAATATCTTCTAATATGCAATCAAGTATTTTTTGGGGAATGAGGAAACTTATAATTAGGGAGTACTTTAGGCCACTGTTAGGATGACCCATCCTTTTCTTAGTTCTCTACCTTGATGTTGAGCTTGAAGTTGAGGAAGGTAGTTTCATCTTTTTCTTTTTCTTTGGCAAAAGAGTCGCTCTCTGTGGATGATGAAGAGTCATTTATCTCTAGGCCTTTCTCGAGACTCGATTCCTCTTTCGACATGTTGGTGTCACTGTCAATTTCCTTTTCATCAGTTATTAATTTTTTACTTTCTGATTTACTCACTTTTCATTATTTTTTCTCTTTTCTTCCTTAAGTTCACTTAAATTATCTTTGATACTTATCTTAATAGTGTCCTCTGTTACCACCTGAGGACTATCATTGTTAATAATTGTTTGGCTTTTGTCACTTACCTTTACTTTTCTTCGGGGTATCGGGTACTGCTACTGATGCAGAAATTTTTGTATTGCAGGAGCGGAAGATATGTTTGCCTTTACACTTCTTACAGCCCGTGAGACAAACTGTAGATTCGGTTGCCTGCACAGTCACATAAACAGCAGATTGGCACGTTGCATTCAGCAGCGAGATGTACAGTCACCTGGCATCTCGTACATAAACGAACCATTCCAAGGTAATTGACCATTGCCTTGCACCATGGGCGTTGAGAGACATTTCTCCATGGGAGCAAAGTTTAAAGCAACGTAACATATAAATATACTGAATGAATAAAGAAAGAAACATGTTTCTTATTTTCCAGGGAGTCAAATCCCCCATTGCTCTCCTGCGGATGCCCAAGTCCTGCACTGACATACATAAATAAAGTTTGGGACAGGTTTTGCCCTTAAAACTTCTCTTACAATAATGAAACCTCCCCATACTCTTTTAGAACTTCAGCTTCTACTTCATTAGGGATTTCGTGGTGTAATCCCTTACGATGGATACATTTCATGTTGGAACCAGCTTTTCCATTTACATATAAAATAATCTAATCCTAAAGCTTTATTGCTGAATATTTAGGAAGAGAAGATACAGCAAATTCTGTACCCTTTCTATCCTTGCAAACAATCCACACACTTATCTCCTATTTTTTTCATAAAGTGCTTTGAACACTTTATGCGGGAGCCATTCTTCTAGTAACTGAATTTAACGAAGAAGAGTTTTTTTTCATTCGGTAATATTGTTACGACGGCGGAAGTCTCGCGATACTGGGAGCATACTCTGGAGTTCTAGAAAGATCGAGGAACCTGTCGAACGTCCTAGTGTTTGCCAGGCGCCCTCTATTTTGTATATATAAGACCAGCAAGAAGTGACGGCAGAGATAATTGTAAAGTGCGTGAATCGTTGTGAATTCTAGCGTGTGTTTAAGTTAAAATGACTGTGGAAATTAAGTGTATTGCAAAGTTGTATTGAGAAAAAATAAACGAGTTTTATTCAAGAAAGGATTTGTATCGCTGAAGTTTTTCGGAAATAATTTCTACGGAAAATTAACCAACGAACACAGAGGCATAACAATATCTAGGTTAGCCACAGCTAGTTAGGTAGTCTTGTCCCTGGTTTTTCTTTTGCTTGAAAACTCTTAGGCTTTAATGTTGTTTTCTCTTTTTTTACGTTTTTACAGATACTCTATAAAAAATACATACTTTATCCCTTATTTAGGAAATTTTAACTTATCCTTATCTTTGAAAATCCCTGGGAGTCACCAAGAAAATGAAATAAAGTCCGAAAAAAAAAACTAAATTAAAATGCCCCGGATACTTGAAGCGGCATTGTCTAAAAGAAACGAAAATAAACTTGACCTCAGTACACACACACATGCACAGATAATGTGTTAGCTTAACGTGGGTTTGTCTCACTGGGGGTCATAACGCTAAAATTTGGGGCTCGATTCCCTGTAATCGACAGTAGCTATTCGCTAAACAACAATTTGATGCAGGATTAGATAAAAGAATATTACCTATAAAAGTCAGTTTTATGACTTTATTATTTGTATCTAGTAACTTAGAACTTATTTTAAACATTGCCTGAATCATTACATCTAATAATGATTATCAATTATCTCTATTGAGTTGAAACTGGCGATCAGTATAGTACAATATATGTAATAAATGATTTTATCATCTGAGCCCACGACAAACTGTTATTTCCGATTTTACCAACAAGGCGGAATCATTCCATAATTATAAAGAGACATTATGCCTCTGGATTATTGACAGAAAAGAGAAGATATTATTAGTTATTGCCAGAGTGAGTGCTAATAGTAACAACAAGGCTGAGAGGGCGAGAAGATATTTTAGTTGTGATTAATTTTTAACTATGTTGGAAAATTTTACGAATTTCAGGTTATTACGCCAAATTACTAGACAAGTAAGTCTGTGGCGAAGCGTAAGCTGAGATATATATTTATATATATATATCTTGGCACTTTTGATATAATTAGGTAGTATAAGCTATTCAGGATTATGAGTCACAACCTGCGTTCAATTTTTGAAGTTGAAACTTTAACTTAGTTTTCAAATTCAGTAGCTTAACCTTAACTAGTCCGTTATTTTGGCGAAGCTTTGACAGTTTGACTTGCTTAGGCGTATTTCACAATTTTAAATTTCACTTTCTACTTTTGTTTTCCTGACCAGAATATGAAAATTTGATAGAATATCCTTCGAGACCCCATGCTGTCCACTTCAAGTTCAACGATTAATTAGGATTAAGATACGATTGAGTAGCAACCACTTTTCTGGATTATCAGTTGATGTTAATTATATATATTTAATCTTTTCATAACAATTGAAAACCTATATAAGTTATATTTATAATAAAAAAATTAAATGTGAGCAACTTGAAAATGAAACTTTCATTGAATGTAAAAATAAATAAAATAACATAACTTGATAACAATATTACTAGTTTATGCAACAATGTTAGAACATTTACCACTCCAAAAGTTTCAGTACCAGTACTAATGATACGAAGATTAAAAGTTCAGTTTAGGTTATCATTTATGAGTGATATGAAAACCTAATATTGAAACTTTGTAATAGGCATAACAAGAAAAAAAAGGTTTCAATGTTTTGACAATGAAACATTCATGCAGTATTTTCTGTGCTATACAAAATTATTTAAGCCCATGGAAGCTTTAGGTGCTAACAATTTTAGCTGTGTCTCAACAAGCAATAGCCTACTTGTCAAAATGGGTAAACATGGGAAACCTATAAGTCTTTGTAAATTTTTCACGATATATACATATTTGGATTTGAACCCAAGACCTCTTGCACACCAAGCACATGCTTTGCCAGAACACATACTACTATTACTAGTAAGAAGCTTTTTAACAACTCAAACTACTAAATTGCTACCAGCTTAATGTGTGGCCTTGAGTGGATTTAGTTAGTTTAAAACAGCCTTGCTTAAAAGTGCTAGTGGATTATCCCTTTAGCTCAGTTGGTAGGACACTTACCTGGTGTGGTAGAGATATATGGTTCAAATCCAAGTTGATGAAGTGGTATAAGAAGAAAATTACTATGTTGGCACCCAACTAGTTGTTTTCCATAACTCTAGTTTATCCAGTATACAAGCCTCATTTGTGAGAGGGGAATAATTTGGTACCATAACTAACAAAAGTTTTGGGCTCAAATATGAAGTGTGCATTATATGGGGAAACAGTATTCTTCCAGTATTTTTCAGGTGATGAAATAGTAGTAAGCATTACATTACAATTAATTTAGACCTAGTGATTAAATTATGCTACAAATAGGGCTACTATTACTAATGCTAGAGTCAAATAATATTTAGTTACATGTGTATAAATATGAACACACAGTATTTAAATTATACAATAAAATAATTTAACGCTTTCATTAGATGATATAATAGCAAAACAATTTATTACCGGTAAAACCTATCCATTTACACTCTCACTGCTACTGAAATGAATAATCTTGTCTGAATCTGTGCAAGAAAACATAACATCCACAAGGAAGGAAATATTTAATTTAAAATATCCATTTATTCTTAAAATGGAATCCCTACTTGTGTATTCTTGAGGTAATCTTTGACAAAAATTTGAACTGCTTACATTTATCTAAAAAGCCCTTCATAGTTTATACAAGGTATTTGCTAATTATTAACATTTAAAATATAATCAATGCAACAATACACCACACACTACACAAAGGCCGATCAGATGTTAGAATTGCTCTGTGCAGAATACGTGGGCATATGGATTTATCATAGTATGTGAGACCAAAAAAATTTATTGCATGCTACACATCAGTATATATTGATGGGATTAATATATATATACCAATATATATATATTATTATATTTTTTTAGAGTTTGTTAAAAAAAGTGACCTTTACTTAACCAA